AAAAAAAAAAAAAATCAACAAAGAAATATCAGAACAGAACCAAACTTTTGAACAAATGGACTTAGTAGATGTCTACAGAGTATTCCACCACACACCATCAGAACACACGAATTCTTCTCAGCTGTACATGGCACATTCTCCAAAATAGACCACATACTAGCTCATAGAATATGTATGGTGTTGTTTTTTTTTTGTACCAGGGATCGAACTCGGGTCCTTGCGCTTGTGAGGCAGACGGTGGAACCACTGAGCTAAATTCCCCGGCCCTAGGCTAGCTTGGTGGTTCTGCCACCTAAATTCCCTGGTCTAGAACATGTTTAAGTAAAGGCAAAGGAATTGAAATTATCCCATGCATATTATCAAACCATAGTGCAATGAAATTAGAAATTAATGGTAAAAGAAACACAAAAACTTTATAAACATATGGAAATTAAATCATACCCTCCTGAACAACCAATGGGTCACAGATGAAATTAAAGAAGAAGTTAGACAGTTTCTACAATTAAATGATAATGCCAATACAACATACCAGAACTTATGGGACACAATGAAAACAGTCCTACGAAGGAAGTTTATAACATTGAATTCCCTTATCAGAAAAACAGAGTGAGGTACACGCCTGTAATCTCCTAGCACTTGGGAGGTTGAGGCAGGAGGATCATCATGAATTCAAGGACAGCCTGAGCTACATAATGAGTTCAAGGCCAGCCTGAACTTATAGTGAGATCCTGTCTAAAAAAGCAAAACAAAACAAAAAAAAGCGAGCTCAAATAAACAACCTAATGTTGAATCTCAAGTTTCTAGAAAATGAAGAGCAAGTCAAGCCCAAAGTTTGTACAAGGGAGGAAATTATAATGATCAGAGCAGAAATTAATGCAATGGAGACTAAGAAAACAATACAATCAATGAAGAATTGGTTCTTTGAGAGATTAAATAAAATTGACAAACTCTTAGCCAGCTTTATCAAGAAAAGGAAAGACCCAAATCCATGCAATTAGAAATGAAAAGGGTGAAATCACAAGAGATCCTGCAGAAATCTAGATCATCAATACCTATTTCGGGAACCTGTATTTTTTTTTTAGTAAATGACAAAGTTCATTTAGTTGTGAAATAATGTAGAGTGGACAGGTGCAGGATTGTACATTTTTGTAGGGCTTTCACCATCCTTAGACAGCAACCAGACAGACAACAATCAGACAGACAAACAACAGGACACAACTGTGGGGCCGGGGATTTAGCGCAGTGGTTTTGCTGTCTGCTGCGCAAGCGCAAGGACCAGAGTTCGTCCTCAGTACAAAAA